GTAGAGTCCTCCCGCGCTCTGCGACGTCTGGAGGTCCTGCGATCTACCTCAATATAGATCAGGGCCCCTGCCGGTGATCTGTATCTGCAACAGGAAGAGCAGGGGCCAACTGCAATGTCTGAGGGGTAGTGCCGTGGTCGTTCCCTCTGCACATGCTTCCTCTTTTCCGCCCGTTTTCGGGGGGGGGAGGATCGCCCGGATGAGGCTGATGGTGAAGGGGGAGGGAGAACGCCCACCCGGCTAGCGCAGGGCTTGGAAGGGCAGGAGCCGAGCTAGAACAGGTTCCACCCTCTAGCTGGCTAGGTAGGAGAGGCGATCCTGGAGGAGGTGGAAAAACCTCTGTTCGTGAGTGCATGATGGGCTCAGTCGCATCAGTGCGGTGTTCGCAGTCCTGTGGCGAGTTCTCTAGCGCTGGGAGCATAGGTAGGGTTGAAGGCGGTGGTGTATCCCGGCGGCCCTGTTTTGCTGCTGCAGGGTGTTTGTTTTTCCTAGAGCCCTCCCCCTGTTTAGCGGCAGCCTTGGTGGGGGGTGGTTTGCTTCCCGCCGCCGAGGTAAGCTTCTTTTTTGGCTTGGCTGGAGCTTTGGCTGCCGGTAGCGGCGGTGGTGGAGTGGCTGATCCCTTGGGGTGGGGTGTTCCCATGGGGGTAGGGTCCCGCTCCATGACACCCAGGTGTGCTGCGGCCGTAGGCTCTGATGGTCTGGAAGAGGGCCTATTGAAGTAGCAGGCCGGCACAAGCGTGCCACGTGGGATTGTCGGGAAGGCATGGGAGAGCTTCCACGTGGGGGAGAGGAGACTCATGGTGGAGAATTGTCGGAGGGTGGTCCAGTGCCTGAATGTCAGTCCGATAATGGGTGGGAGATCCGAGTTCGTGGTCGACAGTCCGGGTCTAATCCGGGGCGGGGGGTAACGTCCCAGATAAAGCAATACTCAAGGAAAAGCTGAAAAAGGTAGGTCGAAAGTAGAGGTTCAGTCTAAAAACGAAGAGCTTTGGAAGAGGTTCCTCTCGCTGAGGCTCAGAAAATGGAACTGGTGCGAGCCGGGTGGGACATGCGCAATACGGGATAATGCCCCTTCCTTCTTTGTTTCCTAGAAGATCTAGAAAGCTCCGAGGTTCCCTGCACAGGCGCAGACGATACCCAGCAGTGTGATTCACAGAGACCACGCTTGAAGAAAGATACGTTGTAGAACAGAGAATATATTAATTGTTGCATGCATCACAAACATCACAAAACGCAAATTAATTCACTTGGTACCAAGGCATTACATCCTAAGAGACACTTTATGTCTTCTTTCTTTCTTGAATATGATGTGATTTATCAAGACTTGAGAAAAAGAAGTTACTTACCTATAACTCTGGTTCTTCTGAGTGGTCCTCTGTGAATTCACACTAATGGGTTAATCTGCGCTTGAGCAGAGCAGTTTTGGAAACTTTCACAGCTTTAAGCACTTAGTGCTGGGACCTCCCCTTACACTGGCTATATAACTCAGCCCCCGGTACTAGTGCCTCATTTCTAAGGAACCGACCACTGTTGCCCAGCATGCGATGGCATACATGATGGACAGTGGGGAGGAGGGTGGGACATGTGAATTCACAGAGGACCACTTGAAGAACCAGAGTTACAGGTAACTAACTTCTTTTTCTCCTTCGTGACCTCTGTGAATACACACTAATGGGTGACTGGAAAGCTGACTAACCAGGAGGAGGGACGTCACAAAAGTGCAGAAGCCAGGACAGCTTGACCTGCCTTAGCCTTTGACCAGACATCAAGGTGACAGAGTGAGATGAGGATAGGCGGAATGGCACATGTGGCAGACATCCGCGATGTCCACTCCATGGAGAAAGGCTGTTGAGGATGGCACAGCTCTAGTAGAGTGAGTTCTCACTGACTTTGGAACAGGAGTCACTGCCAAATCATAGGGAAGATGGATGATCTTTACCAACCATCTAGAAATGGTCTGAGAGGAAGCCGGTGCTCTGAAGGAGGAGCTGATAAAGGTGAGAAAAAGATGCTGTGAGGCACGAAAAGTGGTTGTGCTATGCACATAATGCGACAGAGCACGCTTCACATCTAGAGCGTGCAGAGCTGTCTCAAGCTTTGAAGATGGCGTGGGAAAGAAGACAGGAAGGACAGCTGGCTCGTTCAGATGGAAGGCAGAAAAAACCTTAGGCAAGAAGGTAAGACCTGGCAGTAAGATTACCTTACAGAAAGGAGGACCTGCTCTTAGTGTAGCCAATCCTCTAGTCCTGTAAGCTAAGGTTATTGTCAGGAGAAAGGCAGCAAGTGGAGTGATGCTAACGCCAAGGGCTTGAAGTGAGGCCTCATAAGCTGCCAAAGAATTGATTGGAGAGACCACTGAGATGTTAGTGGTCTACAGGCAGGGCATATATTCACCAGGCCTCGGAGAAACAGCTTGCAGGTAGAACGGGCCAGTCCCAGGCAAAACAGGTGAAGAAGAAACTGAAGGAATACATCCAGAGACATTGGTCTAGTAGGCAAATGTCGTTTTGATGCAGTTACAGAACGCCTACCTATGAGTAGGCCAAGGTGGCAGAAGGTTTGCAAGCATGATTGAGCATGTTTGTTACAGTTGGGGAAGAATCCATGCGGACAGGTAGGGGGACTCGAGTTCTAGATGAAATATCCAATCCTCATCCCGAGAAAGCAGATGAGGGACCAGGTGCAGCCTGATGTATTCGCAGCTCAGGGGAGCAAGATCAAAAACCATGGCTAGCAAGGCGACCAAGTATGACGTTTGCACACTCATGGTGGACACAAACAACAGTCCTTTGAAGAAGGGAGAAAGGTGGAAACCTGTAAAGGAGGCCCCATGACCAATTTGTCAGGAAAGTGTCCCCTAGGGAGTTACGGCCGATGCCGTTTAATCAAGATGCAAAACGTCTACGTCTGGAGCCCCGCATCGATGACAGAGGCAACAAAAGGTGCCATCGTCGCAAGCCTGCTCAAGAGAGCAGAACCGTAGTCTGCTGAGATGGATTGCCACAGAATCGTTTCCGCCCACCAAATGTACAGCCAGTGGACAAATGTGGCAAGCATAACACCATTCTGAAAGGTTGACAGTGAGAACAAGAAGGCGTAATGAATGAGTGCCGCCCTGCTTATTTATATAATAAACTGCCGTGGTATTGTCTGATGTGACCTGGACTACCCAACCCCGGAGTAGGGGCTCAGAGGCCCAAAAGGCCTTGGTGCTTGCCAGGAGCTCCAGCACAATGATATGAAGGCCGGCTACCAGCGGCCAAAGGCAACGTGGTGGTGGGCGAGCATCCACCACTGACTGAACCAACCAGGTGAAGAGACCAAAGGGTCTCCCTATGCATAGGTTGGGGGGGGGATCCCCACCAGTCCAGTAATGCAGCGAGTTCCGGTGTCACCTGCAGCAATGTGGATGGGTGGTTGTAAGATATCTGAAAAAGTGAGAGAAACAAGGCTTGAAGGGACCGCATCCTCAACTGAGCATGCTGTCCTACGGCTGTGGTAGATGCCATCAGCCCAAGGAGTCACTGGACCTGTAGTACGGGGAAGCAAGTGCCTGAAGAAAAAAGGAGCATAAGAAATCAAGCTATTTCACAGACTTGTCATCACGGAAGAAAAACTCTGCTTCAAGAAAACATCCCAAGTCTCATTAATACAATCTACACCCTGTGTAGGTTGCAAAACTGACTTCTCTATGTTGACCTTCAGTCCTAACGCTGACAAAGGGACAGTGTCAAGGATGTGTATCTACCAGCTTGTGACTTGGACTCAGTGGCCAGGAGCCAGTTATCCAGCTACGGGTAAACAGTGATTCCCCTTGCTGAAAGCCTGAGAAAACATTGATTGCCTGACCAGATACCATCATGAAAACTAGCATCCAACCAACTCTCTGGATCTAACATGTGAATAACAGAGACCAAGAAAGCCATACGGAATCTACGTAGAGTAATAAAAGAATTCAGGCCTTCAAAATCAAGGCTGGGCGAGAGGCCTCCATCCTTTTTTTTTTTTTTTTTTTTTTTTTTTGGTGTGTGTGTGTGGGGCATAACGTGGCCTATGACAGTGGGGTATATTGAATTCAATAGCATAGCTGGTAGCTATGATAGAGAGTACCCAAGTGTTAAACATGAAGGAAGACCAATCGGAATACAATTGTTTTTACTTGCGAAGTTCCAAACAAAGCTGCTGCTACAGCAGCGGCCGAAAAAAGAACTGAGCACTAGTGCCGGGGGCGGAGTTATATAGCTGGTGTAGGGGAGGTCCCAGCACTAAGTGCTTAAAGCTGTGAACGTTTCCAAAACTGCTCTGCTCGAGCGCAGATTAACCCATTAGTGTGTATTCACAGAGGCCACGAAGGAGAAACATAGCTTACTGCTCAGAAACAGTAAAACATTTTCAATAAGCTGCTAATACTGCAAGACATCAGTGTGAGAACCTGTTGTGAGACACTGTGTGTATGTAAGGGAAACTGCATAATTGGCTCTCTATCAGATGGCTGGGTGTGCAAATGTGTGATCTCCATATGCCTGTGCATACAGCAGCCACCCAGAATGAACACCTGTTAAATAATTATATTGTGCAACCAAATATGATTCTAGGCAGTGCGAGTAACTCATGCCCTTTGAATCTCAAGATACAGAAGGAGTCCTTTATGTAATTAAGATGACAATACAACTTTAAGTGTCTATGCTTATGGCCACTTTGAAACAGTTATTTAATGGAGGACAGCAACATTTTATAAAAACTGCTTGCTCAATGGGAAAAGTAACATTGTACAATTAATGGGGTGCAACCAGCTAATGTAGCACACTGCAGAGAAAACAAATAATGCAATAGTTTTCATTATGCTGGCAACCAATAAAATCTTCAGCTAAACTCTGAGTTGCAGACAAAGCTTGCTTAGAAAATGACCTGCCAGTAAAATGGAAGTTAACAGACCTTTAAGAAAAACATAATTCCAGGATCCAAATAAAATGATATACATCAGCGTTTTGAATACTTACCTAATATCCTTTTCAAGTTGTGCAGTATGTTCTTTCTGTAAATGTATCTGAGAATCTCTCTGTTGTACAGATTCAATGAGGTATCTATATGGTTGTTGCACTTGGTTCAACAAAGAATTAACCCTGTCCCGCTGGAAGAAAGGAAAGAATATGTTACAATATTTTGTTCATTTCAGAATTTTTTAAATTTTTTTTACAAAAATAATCTTGTAAAACACACTTAAAGAGTATAGTAAAACCTACGGTAGGTCAAAGGCATATTAAATGTTTACATTTCAATGGACTTCCAATGAACCATAAAAATAGCCATGTTTAATCTTTTAAGTACCTATTTGTTTATTATAAATACCTATCTATTTTACCTATTTTGTATCATACATAGGGCTTTAAAAGTTATCGCTATTTTGCTCTCATTTCGCCCACTAATACTATTTTGCTATCAGTCTACTAAGATTTCTTAGGGGATTATAAAATGTAAAATACAACAATAATGGTGTTTTATCTGTTGCTTTTCCCTGCTGTATTTCCTTCCTAACTAACCACTAACTAGTCCCATGGTTGATTGGAGATACTCACTACTAAGACAGGAATTTCTATGACCTAAAAATGTCAGAAATATGTAAGCATTTATGACCTTAAAATTGTTTAAATATGACCAATTAAACCAAAAATATGATTTTACAATTTTTATGAAATTAGCAGCCAAGTATTAAGATCTGTACTTATATACACACATAAAAATTAAAAGGTTTATTCTTCTTCACTTCCATTGCAGAAGTGCTAGTACTGAAGGAATCAAGTGAACATATCTGGACTAGTTTTCGTCAGCAGCAGAACTGCACTGAATGATCACATGAATCTTGAGATTATCAAATTCTGAACTCCTCCTGTTGTCCATCAGTATGTTCTTGTATCTAGAGAAACTCTGTTCGACATTACAGATTACAGAAACAAATTTGAAAAAAGTCAACTCATATGAAGAAAATTCTGGCTCAAAGTCATCAAATGTTGCTTCATTTAGAATGTTACTTATTTTGCAAAGTGTTGAACAACCCAGAATAATTGCAGCATTCTTTTCAGTTTATCACTATTTTGTTCAGCCACTTTCTCTTGCTCTCTTTAAATCACCCTCAGTCGTTCCACAATTTTCAGTCCATCACTAAGTTCCATTCCTACAGTTTCAAGGTGGTCACTGCTTTTGATAATCCACTGAAGTTAGATTTCATATACAGTATGTCAAGTTTCCAGCCAAGGTTTCAGAAAAGGAATATTGCACAATCTTGATGGAGGAAGATTCAGAACAGTCATATTCTTTAACTACCCACTGCAAGAAATCATAATTTGTGAAATAATACAAAGCTGCATCCAGCCAAGTTCCCCAATTCATCATGACAGTTTGGAGAGGGACAGCCAAAGTAGGAGCAATTTCTTAGAATGTTTGTATTCGAAGTGGAGCTTTCATAAACATTTTTCCCATTTGAAATTATCTTATGTACATCAGGATAGTTGTTTTGAATCGCTTCAGCCATTCTGTATAAACCATGTGCAAGGCATATGATATAAAATATGGTAGTGAAATAGTGGAATTGTTTACTTTTTCTAGAGTTCCACATGTTAGAAAAAATACTTCACCAGACTTGTCATATTTCAGAGTGCCAATAATAATATTAGCTACATATCTTACACCACTTGTTTAATCTATCAAAGCCTGTATCTTATTATAGCAAATGTTATTTTTTCTAACACATCTTCATAGCAGGCAGAGATTTAAGTTTTCATGACAAGCTCTTGAAAAAAAAAGGCCTGTTCTCAGCAAAGGTAAATCTTGCTTAACAACTCTTATGTTTTGTCGCTGAATACTAAAATGCTTTTGGGCTAACACCTTAATTTCACACAATTTGTAAAACAATCACCATCACTACTATTCCCCAAAACACAAACAAAATGCTGTAACTTTACACTCACCAAACTTTTACTTTTTTAGGCATCTTGAAATAGTAGGGAGGGTTGCCAACAACCAAAATATGAGCAAAATATAACGTTTGTTAAGCAGAAATGTGACACACCACTTTAAAAAGGCCAAAATATGACTTTTGGGACAAAATAAAAACCATGTAATTCTCACCAGATTACTCATAAACACGTTTTAATTTAATGTGTTCTTGAAGGCTTTCACGGCCGGGACTCGATGGTTGTTGTGGGTTTTTCAGGCTGTTTGGCCATGTTCTGGAGGTTTTTCTTCCTAACATTTTGCCAGTCCCTGTGGCCAGCATCTTTAGAGAACAGGAGCTAGAGTTCTGTCTGTGTTCTGGTGTAGCGTGTGGCATTGTTGAGTATTTTTAGCTGTGGGATCAACTTTTTGTCCTTTTCAGGACACTGAGTGATTATGGTGATCAGGGTGTTTTTTGTTATGGGTGTTTGTTGTGATAAGGGGAGAGATGATCTGTCACTGTGATTGATGGGTGTTGTTAGCTGGTCTTTTGTGTGCAGTGATCACCCGTCCTTGTGGCTTGGTAGAGTTTGTTGACCTTTTGCAGCTGTGTTTTTCAGTGCTGGGCGCCAAGCTTTGTTGAATTTTAGACTTTCTCCTTTGTTGTTGAAGCTCTGCTGGTGTTCGTGGATTTCAATGGCTTCCCTGTGCAGTCTAACATGATTGCTGGTGTTGTCCAGTACTTCTGTGTTTTGAAGTAGAATTTCATGTCCTGCTTGTTTCAAGGCATGTTCAGCTACTCCCGATTTTTTTGGTTGTTTTATTCTGCAGTGTCTTTCATGTTCTTTGATTCTGGTCTGGATGCTATGGTACGTTTTGTGGTCCCAATATATGCGTATATATTGGGACACAAAAAAAAAAGTAGCATCCAGACCATGTTTTAACTTACTTATAAATTCAAATAGGTTGCAGACAAAGGACATTTCATGGAAATCCTTACCCTACTTAATTCGTGAAGGCTTACCCTACTCATTACCATATTGTTCCTGCTTGCTATCTATAGCCTGGGATTAATTTAGCCATCGATTATTATAACTGTTTAAAAAACAGTGCTTCCTGGGAGCAGAGCTGAGTATCAACAGGGTCTTAAAGGTCATTTCCAAGTGTGAAATTCTCCACTATCAACAACTTGGACCTAAAAATCAAATAGTCTCTCTGTTTTGGGGTATTGCATAAATGTATAAATATTTGCTATGTAGTCCCACTTTTGCATTTGAGGAAGTGGCTTTTTCCATGAAAGCTCACATTAAAATATAGCAGTTAGTCTTTAAGATGCCACTATATTCTTTCCTTCTTTATTTTTTCTGTTGTATTTATTATTGTGTGAGCTTTTGTAGATACAATCCACCTCCATGAAAGTGTGAATTGTATCCATGATTGATCACACTACAATAAACTTATTCATGGCAGACAGAAAGTCTGCCCTCTATAGACTCACGTGCACTAAAGTGGACTATCTACCACAGTTACTTTTTCAACTGAAACGTGATTTAATTTTTTTTTTGCTACATCACATTTTCACCTTCTCTTTAGCCTGACTTACATGCACAAAACACAGAAACATATACGGTGGTGCCTTGATTTGTGAACACCCCTACCTATGAACATTTCAACTTAGGAGCAGCTTTGCTCGCAAAATTTTGCTTCGACTTGCGAGCGGAGCTTCGACCTAAGAACAGAAAAAGGCGGGAAATTCAAACAGTTGGTGGCAAAAAGGTTGCTCTTTCGTCCCAACGGTTAGAGCAGGGGATCAGGGAACTTTTTTATTCCTGTGGTGCAGGAGGAGGAAGGAGAGGCAGGGCAGCTCCGGATCGCTACCAGGCGCAAGAAGCCGGTGCGCTCCCTGCCCATACCTGGTGCAGGTCTACTCATGAATAAGGGCATTTAAATGTGCTGGTCTACTCATGAGTAAAGGCGGCCGAAGGCACTGCGCTGGACTGAGGCGCACAGGTCGTAGTGGCTCCTCCATGGACTGAGCATGCGGTGGTGGCACAGGAGGAGGCTCCCCACCAGTGAGTGAGGGCCATCAAAGGAGGCTTCGGTCTGCCTGGTAAGGTGCTGGTGTTGTTTTTTGCAGCCTTCTGGGCTTGCTCTGTTTATTTTTTTAAAAAGCCCAGTACCTTCTGATGGAGCTTTCTGCATGGTTTTATTTTTGGTATTTTTTTAAAATGCTGGAATGGATTAATCCCGTTCCCACGCATTTCAATGGGAAACGGTGCTCTGACTTACGAGCATTTCAACTTAAGAACACCATTCCGATACAGCTTAAGTTCATAAGCTGAGGCACCACTGTAGTTACTATGTAAAGTTATTCCTAAATCGTTGACAGGGGAGACACCATGATCATGAAACAACATTTCAAAAAACTGAATATAGAGGCAATACAACCAGTAACCCCCGTGAAATGTTCATCTTTTATCACTGATAAACAGAAATTAATTTTATATGATAAAAATTGAAAAAGTGACTACAGACTAGGAAAGGGAGGAGTTATAGGTGCACATGCATCAGTGAATAAAGAATGTGAAACCAACTGAATAAAAGCAGTGGTATTACATGAAAAAACAAAATACCTCAAATTAAAAAAAGAAAAGAAAATACCTTAAGAACATTGAACCAGTTTTGCTAGTTCTTCCCGTGTTCAGAAAACAGAGACGTATCTGTCTAGTCTGCATTTTTGTTTAGTCTGTAAAGTAATCTGGTTTTTCATCTCTGCTTTAAAATAACAAAAATTGCTCAGAAGAGGCTTAACATATATGTGTTTTCCTCAATCATCCAAACAAATACTGCTTTAAAATTTCTGTCCACTACATACAGAGTGTATGTGTGTATGTTTGTTAGAAGTTGTATACCTCTTGTGAAATCTGGGTAACTTGTTCCTTTTGATGCTCCAGATCTTTTGCAAGCAATGTATTTTGCTTTTCTAGCTGTAGTAGCCTTCTTGCCAAATGAACACTGTGCCAAAAGAGAAAAGGACATCTCAAACTGAATATCTTCCAAAAGATGACAAACGAACCCACAGAGAACTTATCCTTACTTTTCATTAGCACAAGTAATATATATGATAAAATATCATTTACAAATGTATTTCATTAATCCCAGGCTAGACACTTCAGTTTATCTAGTTCACAATTTGTGCTAAAACATGAGAAGACAATTGCCACCTAACTATGCAAGGAAGCATTTTTGAAATACATGGCTTACTGTCAATTTAAGCAATGTGCAAACGAATATGCTAAAAAACAAACAAACAAACAGTTTATCTATATTTTGGTGGACATATTTTCAAGATTGCTGAAAAGTGGATTAGAAACATCTGAGTGGAAAAGAAACATCATTTGTGTAGGGGCTGAACTGGATTATTTCCCAGCTCTACAGTCCAATACCCATAGCCCACACATGCAGCTTTAAGTGAGTTAGAACAACAATACTGAATACTCCCCCTTCTTTCCCATAACACAGACATATCACTTTGCTTACAGCAGCAACGGTCTCTATCTGTTACATTTTAGATAATTATCTGAAAGCATCCACAGACCACAAAATTACCTTTAGGCAATCATTACAGAAAAGTATCTCTCCTACTTACACTTATCTAAGCTGTACTAAATTATAAAGTCACTGAAGTAAACATATGAAGTAATTTATTTTTACAACAGGAAAAAAAATGAAACAGAATACTGAACAATACAATGTTTTGGTGTATTTTGGCAAGAATTATGGGATCTTGACTTGACCAAACCATTGTCAAATAACCAAATACATGTACCATAGAAGATAATATTTTCTGTGTTCAGAAAGAACAACGAGTAATTAAAGACTAGTGCTTAAACACTAGTAGTGTAGCTATTCCTTTTCACACACATATCATTTTAGGGGTTCAGTTTCATTGTTTTTCTGTTGGGTGCTTTCTTGCACTATAATAATACCTCATAATCTATTTGGGACACAAGACAGACACAAACGTCCTTGCTTAAGTCTTGCTTTACTTCATTTGGATTGCTCCAACTTAGCGTATTACAATGGTTCCAATATAAGAACAGCACACTGTGCATGAAGTGGTTGTTCTCTTCTGAACAGGAGAATATCAAGTACAATTAATGGAGAAGTACTGTCTTTGTCTTCTTTGGTATCCCTCTTCTGTATGCCATTGCCTTTTGGGATATGATTGATGGTAACATACAGGAATTTTTTTCAGGGAGCAGAACTTCACACATAGAATTCTTTGTCACAACTAGATATGGTATATTCGTATTTGTCTCCCAAGGGAGATGAATACAAATATCACCAGCACAGGTGGCTGGGCCAACTGGACCCTTCCTCCAGAACTGGGCCATCCACTTACTGCTTGCAGCACAGATAATGGGGCTTAGGGGAGGAGCAGAAATTCCATACATTATATCAGTGGAAGACTGAACTTTCCCAATATCTGTAATGATAACTCTGTAGCAGTAACAAACAGATATCACAGAATCATGGAGTTGGAAGGGGCCTATAAGGCCATGAAGTCCAACCCCCTCCTCAATGCAAGAATCCAAATCAAGGTACATCTGATAGATGGGTGTCTAATTTTCTCTTGAATGTCTCCAGTGTTGGAATGCTCACTACTTCCCAAGTTAATTGGTTCCATTGTCATACTGCTCTAAGAGTTAGGAAGCTTTTCCTCATATTCAACCAAAAAACAGGCTTCCTGTAACTTGAGCCCATTATTACATGTCTGGGATAATCGATAACAGATTCTGGCCCTCCTTTGTATGAGAATTTTCCATGTACAGTACTTGAAAAATGCTATCATATCTCCCTTCAGTATTCTTTTCTCAAGGCTAAACATGCCCAATTCTTTCTTCCACATTTTACAGTGTTTCTCCTGTAAACTCCATATGCTGCAAATGTCAGAAATGTGCATGTTGTTTAAAATTTAAATTGGTATTATGTCAATATAAGCAGTATGCATATGAAAACGATTCCAGTTTTTAAACGTTTTTCATGCTGATTCAGATGTTTTAAGTCTATTTAAAAAGCAAACTGGTAAAAAGAATCATCTTGTTTGTATCTTGCTTTTTTAGTTGAAGGTTACATGCAGAACAACAAAAATGGATAGCCAGGAAGTCCTCTCTGCTGTTTTCAAACCAAATTTGACTAAAATGAACACTTTATATGCTGAAGTTCAGTCAAGCAGAGGTAAATGGTTTTCTGTTTCAAACAAGCAGGCCTCTTGGAATGTGTACAATACTTCAGTGTGTCTAGGGAACAGAGAGTTTATAGCAGTCATTACCTCTTTGGAAAATGTTTACTTGTACTTAGTGTAAAAAGGAACACAACATGTAAGTAACGTGCATTTATTGCAGTATGACCTGAAACTGAAGTGTTTTGTGAAGCATTGGGGGGGGGGGGAACCCAGACAATCAGTCAAATACAAGCTGAAGATTGCTACTGATTTCATTTTCTATAGACAATTACAGCTTTCAAAAGATTGAGAAATGCTGACTTACAACAGCACCACAGCATTTTCAGCAATGATTTATACAGATGAAAATGCCACATATTTAGTCAAATATATCAGCTGAGTATACTGGATACATGCTTTTTTCAAGTTGAACTGACCACAGTGACAAACATATTAAACTTCAACACAGTAAGTTTTGCTATTGTTCAGGAACCTACTTTAAAAAAAAACAAAAAACAGATTTTGTTTAGTTTATGCTAAATCAGAGATGACAAGATTACATTGTCAATGGAATTATATCCTATCACATAATTTGATGAGAGGTATGTGGTGGAGAGGGAGTTGTTGGCCATTTTTGCAGTGTTTTTGTCAGTGTAAAAAAAGAAAAACAAGAAAATTTCCAAACTTTAAAATCAGAGCTCATGCATGTGCATGCACACACACACTCAAGTTAACTAAACACTGAAAAAGGTAAACAATGATGGGATTTGAAATTATAATGGAAGAAAAGGTATAACATTGCTGATAATGTTTTTATTTGTTTTTCAAGGGAATATCCCATGGACAAAGGTGCCACTTTACATTAGACTTGAATGGGACAGAAAAGTCAGTTGTCCATCCTCCTGAAAGCTTTTTACCTGACTGCAACAGGGAAAAGCCACAAGAGTTGGGTGAGGGTTAGACATAATGAGAAATGTGGTAGTTCTCTAACTTGTGTTCCCAGTTGCAAGTGGTGAAGGCTTCTGGGAATTGCAGTCCAAGAAAATCTGGGGATCCCAGTTTGAGAACCACTAATCAACAGGATACCCTCTTGCATTCACTACTTTTCACAAAATGACAGTATGCCATGGAAAATTCCAGAAGCTGATTCCTTTTCTCACCAGTTAACCATTGCTCACCAAAAAACAAAGCAACTGTCAGGACTTTTTGACAAGTGTGAACCGTAGTGAATAGAGATGGTAGTTTGTAATGGTTTGTTCTTTGGGTGCACAAGCATTCCGTAGGTGCCCTGGCTTCTCCCCCCCACATCCTTCAGTGGGTGCTCACTCAGAGACAATGTCCAGGGCATCCTTGCCCTGCCTGCTCCAAGTGGGTGTGTTAGGATCTGGGTGGCAGCAGGGCTTCCCCTGTATCACTGCCCTGGCAGCTGCAGGATTGCGGCCAGCTTGGTCCCAGGAAGAGCCCAGTGTTTACAGGTTGGAACCCTGCCAGGGCAACAGTTGCTGGGGCTCTCATGATGTCCACCTGGGAGTCCTCAGAGAAGGCCTGTTTAAAGCCGTCCAGAGTGGGCGGCATATAAGAAGAAAGGAAGGAAGGAAGGAAGGAAGGAAGGAAGGAAGAAAGAAAGAAAGAAGGAAAGAAAGAAAGAAAGAAAGAAAGAAAGAAAGAAAGAAAGAAAGAAAGAAAGAAAGGACTCTCCCTCCCGGAAGTTTGCTTTAGCAACGTAAGTCTTTGGTTGTGTTGTAGTGTTCTTGCTCCAGAGTTCCTGCTCTGATGTCCCGTATTCCTGATCCTGCATTCCTGCTCTGGCTCAGTGCTCCCACTCCCACGGCTTGGTTCCAGTCGGTTTCCACTCCTGTTCTCCGATCCTGGCTAGTTGGCCCGTGTGTGAGTTTGGCATGCTGTGCTGTTGGCTGGGTCCTGGTGCCCTTGTCTCTGCTACTGAAGACAACTGTACACAACCTGGACCCTGACAGGATGCTTGCTGGAGGAGGCCATGATAGGGATGTATAATCTCTGGGCTTAAAAGGAAGGTACCTCCAAATACCAGATGCAGGGGAAGGGTATCAGGAGACAGGTATGTAGTTGTCTCGTGTGCTCCCAGAAGCATTTGGTGGGGCCACAGCAAGATGGACTAGATGGGCCCTTGGCCTGATCCAGCATGGTCCTTCTTAAGTTCTTTTCTTCAATGTACAGATTTCTCCTCTCCTTTTCTATTCAGTCTGTACTGACAGTCACTTCTGACAGTTACTGTTGGTGTCTTCAAGAAAGTAGGATGCTCCACCATGTTTCTAAGCATGATATTTTATTACTTGTGTAGTGCACTTTGCAGTTCTAGCTATGGTTGCAAACTGGTTTATAGTTTATCATCTAAAACTCTGAAAATAGTACACACGTCTAGCTAGCCATTGTTCCCTTTTGCAATGGAAGGGAGGGGTGATCCATGTGTTAGTAATAAGGCATTTGTAAGACCATTAGGAATGGCTGGCCTCTTTATCCTGAGTAGGCAAGTAGTTAAGTTTTCTCTCTGCACTGCGCACCTCAGCTTTGAAGCTTAGTGGGAACCTTAATATGGGGTCCAGAAAGGATAGGGAAAGTACTACTGTGATAGATATTGTGATTTTGCTACTACACTGAAAGAAGGCTCAAGCCACAATGGATACCAAACATTTTTCTCTCTTGAAAAACTCTGCTTTCCTGGAGCATAATAAAAGTTGACCAGTCCTAGTCAAACAGATTGAATTGACCCAAACAACTTAATGGGTTTAGCTTCCAAGTAAAAACTTTA